TTTGAACCGAATCGGTTTTTGAACCGTATCATCGCTTTTTTCAGTCTTCGAACCGAACCACGAACCGAACCGTTTTTATTTTGAAGTGCTAAAACCGTACCGAACACCACTCCGAAAAATGGTTCGATTCGGTTCAAAATGTAATACACATCTTTGTCTAAAAATGCTTCCCATATGGTTAACTGCTAACATATTTTTTGTTTGATGGCAACTCCGCGAGTTGTAATTTTGCAAGCAAAAAAAAAAAAAAAAAAAGCAATGCGAATTTTAAGATAATTGTGTCTATAAAACTGTATACCCGGATTTTCTTTAGTGCTGATTAAAAAAATGTATGCTTTGATGCTATTTATTTGTCGATTTTTTATAATTTTCATACAAAGATTTAAATTTGGATTTATATGGTTGTTTTTATAGAACGACCTATACCTTTATAAAAAAAATAATGAACATTCATCAAACAAAAGAAAAATTGGCAGACGTCGCACTCCTATCATTTCGACCACAGGTATACTTGTACATATGAATTTAAGGCCTAGCGTAAACTCCCGCCGACCGAAAATGTAGGTTTAACATTAAGCCAAGATTCCGAATGCCAATTAAAAATCCTGAGAATGCTGTGTTTGTCTACTCGACTGGGCTGATGACTTGTCCAACCCTTAAACAAGTTTATTAAAATTTTTCTAATCTCGCCTTGATCGCCTAGATTTTAGGGTATTACGCGTTTTCTTCTATACAAACCAAATTTTCCCACATACTTTATAGGGAGGAAAATACGTGAAAAATTGCTAAACTTAAAACTTAAAAATTATAAATGTTTATTAAAAATTGCAAATCTAGATAAAACTTTGCAGAATTTTCATAACTTCTAAACAATGTTTGAAACTAATACAGCAATAAATATTTGGTATAAATTCATATACATATATGTACATTAGGTCGGTTCAAATTGAAGATATTGCAGATTTTTTGGACTATGCAGGTAGGGGTTTGGAGTATTCTACGTGAAATTTTAAGAGAAATTGGCGAAAAAGCCATGGGTGTAAAAACAATTTCGAGCCAGGGAAAAAATTAAAGAATAATAGGTTTTTCGTCAATTTTTTTTTTTTGTATTCTTCTTCTTCTTCTTCTTTATTGGCGCTGTAACCGCCTAAGCGATTTTGGCCATACTCGTACATGGCGTATGAGTAACATTTTTTCATACAAAAAATTATTACGCATTTGCGATTGATCATTCTCAACTATTTTATTTATATTTTTTCTGTTAAAGATAGAATATTTTTCATTCACGCTATATAGATCTATAATCTACGATCCAAAATTAAGGTTACGTGTTTCGGTGTTTTTTGTGTCATTTCAAAGCTTGAGATTTTTCCTACAGCGTAATTATTAAATGTAAAATGATTCGGCAAAGTAATTAATTGAATAAAGATTTTAGTTAAATTGGTAATATGTAACAAATTTTAATAAATAAATAATCCCAACGCTTTTACCCTCTTTGCCCGCCCAACCGAACCGAGGAGTGCAGTCCGCATGAAGTATTTAAGTTTAAATATCTTAAAATGAAGTTCAGTTACTTATGTTAATGAAAAAAGTATATTCAAGGAAAAAAAATCGTGTTTTGCTGTTAAATCGTAGAAAATGTGAAAATGTTTCACTGTTACGCCCTTCTGGCGAATGTTTTAAAAAAAAGGTAAGTCCACAAATGGATTCATCATACCAAAGAAAAACCTTTCCAGCATGTGTTTTATTCAAAAATTTCTTACAAGACTACAGCAAAAAAAAAAGTTGCTAAGAGAAAACATACATACCTACATACATATATTCGCAATTTGGCAAGCTCAAAATAGATTTTAGACCCATGTTTTCTTCGGAAAACTTGCTTCGAATTTCATGTAGAATATCCCTATGTCAAGCAAAAAAAAATACCCACCCTAATGTATGTATAATGCGGTAATAATAAAGATAAACCAATATCTGTAGATATCTTAATGTTTGCTCTAAATAAAATAGAAACGTTACAATTAAAAGTGTTGACATTATAATAAAAACAAAAACAGCAATCAAGTCAACGTTTCCATTTTACATTTTTTGCTGTTGTGCCCTTATCTGAATCACCGTTAATGTTATATTTACAAATTGTATGCACATTCACAGATGCAAACGTGCAAACATGCATACATGTATGTATGTAGGTAGAGATTCACTTTCCAGTGCAGATGCTAACAAAATCATTAAATACGAAGTTCGACCTACATATATTCTTATTTACATGTGAATGTACTTACATACATGCGTGGTTGTGTGTATGTGCATACAAATGTGAAACTTGAAGCGATTAAGTAAGAGAGCGAGTTGCTAAAGCAAAATGCAAAGAACTTTTTGAAGGTATGAGTAGAGTTGCCGCTGCGATGAGAATTTCACAGACCCACAAACTAAATTTTGTTTTTGGCCGGTAAATGAGATGCTAGTTAATCTTAATTTGTGCACCAGAAAAAATATTATTTAAACTTATAATAAATTTTCAGCTGAGCTAAAATGGTGCCTGATATATCGCAAACGATCTTCAAAGGTGACACAACTCAAAATTAAAAGTTCTTCAGAAAATGCGAAAAACTATTTCTTAGCACATGATAATCATATGGGCAAGGAAGACTTTGTTGTTAGGTTTTTTCAACAAATTATAACAAAAATTTTGCTCCAGCTTTTCCTGAAAGGTAAATAAAAGCGCTGTATACATTTTTAGTGAATAATTTCAAAAATGCCAAATTTTGAGTTGTGTCACTTTTGAAGATCGTATGCGATATGGTAGTTGACAGGGGCAGTGCTGTATTTTAAGTTACTCCGCTGCAAATTCGAAAAGTCATCCGACATATTAAACTGCCCTCGGCAATTGACAAATTTACATCAAACTAGGCCAGTGATACGCAGAGAGAGTTTTTACTCTATACGCGCCTATACAAAATGTATGGAAAGTTTAAAAGAGCTTTGCCCGCGGGCAAGGCGGTGGCCATCAGTGAACTAGGCACAGCGCCAAAAATTGGCACTATAATTTTGTTCGCACCACCGGATCTTCTACGCTTTGCTGAATAAGGTTGCAAATGCATATTCTTGGGGGTGATTCAACTTCGTCTCTATTTTTTATTTTGAGAGAAGTAGAATTTTAATTATTTCATCTTCTCGGCTTTTATATGCTTGGCATCCCTTTACACAATAATTCCCAGTAGGAATTTTTATACTGCCTTTAGGCATACATATAGTAATGCTGTGGTTAAGGAGCTTTTGGCCATATTCTTACAGCCTATCGGACATCTCTCGGAAGAAATATTCACTCTCAGAAACGCTACCGAAAATGTCTTACACAATGTTGTAAGAGTCGTCATTTCTTGACGGTTTAAATGGTTTTAAGGGATTGGCATGGTATAATAACAGCTAATCAGTTTAAAATTCATTTGGCGTGGTTGCAAAATCTTATTTTACATTGAAAAATTCTACTACTTTATGACGCAACGACGCTTACGACATCTTGTGAATACTCTTAATGTCTTAAAAAGACACGAAGGTTATGAATTTTTTGGAATATAGGCCGAACAATTAAACGAAAATATTTTATCAGAAACCAGAGTACACTTTTCCAAAAGTTCTCGTCGTGTTGAATCCAAATCTAGGGTCATAACTGCTATTGCGGCTAAGGTTTCCGAGATCTTTTAACTTACCGTTGATTTTTTAAATTTTTTTTGTTGGCATTGTTAAAAATCAACGGTATTTTGTAGCCACTTGAAACGTGCATTTTATTGTACTAAAATTGCACGGGCTTCAAAACTGCATACCTGAAAAAAATATTACTCACTTATGCCCTGCAGGTCATTAGGATAGCACACCCCTTTGTTGACATGTTTTTTTTTTTAATTTGTATAAACTTTTGAAATCGGATTTACACGTAGAATATGCTACATTTTTATAAAAAAATTTATGAATATAAAACAAGCAAAAGGAAAACTGCACATTCTGGGAGTGTATGTATTTGATATTGCCGGGCAATCGCTTACAAATAATTTACATTTTCATAATCACTAAAATCCATGATTTTTTTTTTTAAATCAAAATTCTAGATTCTCTAATACAGGGTTAAGTATTTTTTCAGTCAAAAATTCTTTTTTTTTAAGCTGGCTTCCGACTGCCATTGGCTAATACACTATATTTGTGCATTTGTATTAGCCTACATGTTATATAACATTATTACTTACTTATTAGGGTGGTCCTTAAAATATCAACATCTAAATTTTTTATGTGGCACCCCCTTATTTTGTTTTAAGTTTGTACGTTCTTACAAAGACGAATATGTCAAAACAAATTTAGGGGTCGTTAACAGGGTTTGAGAAAATTTTAATTTTTTTTTGAAATCACAAAAATTTTACAAAAAATTTACTTTAAGCAGCCATAACTCAACATATTGAAACTTATTTAAATAAATACATATATAACTGGTCAAAAACAAAATATTGATAGTTTTTTGCAATTTTTACAAAAAAAAATAAATTTTTTCACACCCAGGTAGCGACCGTGATTTTTTTTTTTAATTTTGAAATTTTCGTAAATATTTTTATTTTGTACGTGGAAAAAATAAAGGGGTGCCCCATTATTTTGTTATTTTAGGGACCACCCTAATGCATATACATACATAAATACGAAATGCGTCAGCAATAATGATTTTGGTCAGCACACTCACAGCGCATTCTCTTTTGCAACCGTCATTCGGTCGGCATCATTCAAACTACATACATACATACATACATATGTACATGCATTCTTATATACAATTTTGTATATTCATCTACAACGCATTGCGAAATGATTTCCTACTGTGCCACTTTATTTAGGGGGCAACCACTGTGTCCGATAACAGCCGGTCGCCAACAAAGTCTCGCGCTCGCGCATTTCACGGCAACTCTCTCAGCAGCAGCAGTCAACAAACAAAAAGCAACAGTCAACAGTCAACAGTCAACAATCAAGAGACAAGAGACAAGTTCAGTTGAAACTTTAACATACATACTTGACGGTGGCGACGGCTTTTAGCATAGACTTTTTATATGAATGCAATAGTGAGTTCCGCATTAGTTTCTAAAGAAACGTGTAGCTAAACAATTCAAACGAGTTCTTGAGGCGCAGCTTAAAAGTACAGAATACCATTTTGGTTAAGTTTGGGTACTACAGTGTCGAGACGAGTGGAATTGCGGTGAAAAAAGTGGAATAAAAAAAAGCGAAAGCCAAAAAGCAAGTCAACTACATAACTTGAAGCAGTTGCAGAGGAATTCTTGTGTGTAGACGACGGCTGGCGTGTTGATTTTGTTTTCAATGACAGCACAACAGTGAAACGAAATTACACAAAATTCCTCTACGCTTCCATGGCATAATAAACTTAAAAGTGTTTATTTACAGAAAGTGAGAGAAAATTGCTTTGTACATAAGTATAGTTGCGCATTTTGAAGAAAATAAAAAACGTATCTTCTCTCAGAAAAAAAAACCTAATACATATTTTATTTGCAATTCTTTCTATGTGACAAAGTGAAATCATTATTTTGCAATTCAACGCAAAAGCTGAAAGTCAAACAAAGCAAACAATTAAGGCGAATTTAATGTGTGGCAAAGCAGAAAATCAGAGCAAAGCATAAATGTAGATAAAAACACAAAGGAGATATGCCCACATGTACAACATATGTATTGATTTCAGAAAACAAAAACAATTAAAAAGTTTTTAATAACCAAAACAAAAGCGAAAAAATCGATTACCACCGTGAAAGTGAAAAACACATCGAGAAACGGCAAAACATATAGAAGCCTAATCGAGCACGTTTAACAATTTAATTTTTTATGCTCCAATAGCCAAGTGTGCACGCACTTGAAGTACTTACATAGGCATACTTATGTACTTATTTATGCATACATATGTACATACATAGCCACATTAAAAATATTCTACACGCGATTTACAAACCAAAAGCGCAAGTACCTTAGAGCATACTCGTATATACTCGTCCGTATGTACATATAAGGAATCAACTATATCGACTATTTTGCACATAAACGCCATATACGCTTGACTATCAAAATGTCCAGCATACCAAATATCACAGATGCACAGGAAACTGCCTTGAAGCAGGTGAGTTAATCGATTGATTGGCTAGCCGTAATACGTACTTAGCTGCAAGTAGTTTATTAGCTAAATAGTTTTTACTTAATGACTTTGTACTTGGTGCTTTAAATTGCTATACTAGCTCGCGCGAGTACTTGGCACGTACTTGCGTTCAATGTTACATTTACAACACTTGTTTGGGGCTACATATGTACTGGACAGACCCAGCAGGAAAGCGATTGGTTACAAATTAGGCTTAGGCTTTTTATCGAAATTCGGATATTTTCTTAGCACTCGATTATTCGATTCGAAATTCGGCGGGGTAAATTCAATTTATTCGATTTTTTTCTTATTTCTAACAAATATTTTTTTTTTACGTAAAATTTAAAAGTTTGTATGTAAAAGTGATAACTCAAATCAAAAATAAGTCGTTTTTTAGCTCTATAATCTATTTCTGTCTTGAAACAAAATATAAAGACAGTAGGGCATATTCATAGTCGCAGTGCAGCTTTATTGACAAATATTCCATTGAGACTTATGTCAAAAAGCTGCCACTAACTTTAGCGTCAAGTTTTCATATCCCCAATATATCAATAAATTTAACTAAAGTTAACTGAATTCATTATCCGCGTTGCTTTAGTTGACAGTACCGCCACAAGCGTAAAATTAGAATGGGCTGAAGTTTCTAAAGAAAGAAAAATAATCACTTCAAAATATAGCAAATATAACACTTTAATTATCTCTTCTTTTCGATGGCGCTATAACCTCTAACTGGTTTCTCCAGCGCAGAGGAGGCCTTTCTCTTCCTCTGTTACCAACAGAGTTTTTTTTTCATACATACGAGATGACCAAGCCAGCATAGCCGCAGCATTTAAATTCGCTGCACTATGTCTATGTCGTTGTAAAGCTCATACAGCTCATCGTTCCTTCGTCTGTGGTAAAGGCTCGTAAATCCTCCACAGAAACATTCTCTCGAAACCTCCAAGAGCCGCCCCAACAGAGTCTTTAGTGGTCTATGCTTCTGCGTCATACACCAGCACAGGCATGATGAGTGACTTATAGAGCGTGATTTTTGTACGACGAGAGAGGAGGACTTTACTGCTCAATTGCCTACTCAATCCAAAGTAACAAGAGTGATTCGCTTTTGGATTTTAAGGCTGACATTATTATTGGAGCTATTTCTGGTTCCTAAATAAACGAAGCCGTCTGAGTTTTGTCAATGGTGACGTGAGTGCGAAGACGCTTATGCTCTGACTCTTTGTCTTCTTTATCTAATTCCGATGGTATCGATTTCGTCGCCATGCGCCAGCAATTCTACGCTCTTGTAAAAAAAAAGTATACCTGGGCGTTTCAGTTCCGCGGCTCTTATTATCTTTTCCAACATCAGATTATCACACGAAAGCGAGTCACCATGTCTGAAACCTTGCTTGGTATCAAACGGCTCGGAGATGTCCTTCCCAATTCTGACCTGATGCGGCGTCGCATTTCTGTCGTCAGGCATACGTTCATCTGGCCGTACTCTGCATAAGAGCTGATAGATGCGTCTTATCGACTCCTCGTCGCCATACCTAAATAGCTCAGCGGACGAGCCCATCAGCTACAGCAGCCTTGTTGTTTTTAAGCCGGTGAAACATCGACTGAGAGCCCGGGTTCGTCTTCTCCGCAACTTTCAGCGCTGCTACCATTCAGTAGGGGGGAAAAGTGTCATCTCCATAATTTAAGAACCTTATGGACATCATTTTATGCGAGGAAACTTCTACTCCTACTTTTCCTTCAAGTTTGGAGCCGTTGTATAAAAGTTGATGGCATTAGTGAGAGCATAAAATAGTTCGCACTGGTGGGTTTCCAGATAGGCGCTGGCTTTCCTTGGATAGCCAGATCTCGCAACATCGCATTTAGGTGATATGTGGGTGTGAAGAAAAGGGCTCCTTATACACAATTCTTTGTATCCTTTGCAGATTTCTGAGAGCTTTTGATCTTATGATATAGAGTAAGACTCCGTAGAGTATAATTGGATGGACAATTTCCGTATATCCAGTATGTCTTCCTCGGAAATAATAGATTGGCCGAGCTTCTCCTCCGACTTGTGGCGTGCGCCTTGATGTTGTCACACAAAGCGGAAGGACCTACAGTTTTACGCCGACTCCGAACGGCGATTGTATTTTTATGAGAAGCTGTTTTTTCATGGCAGAAATACACTCGGAGGTTTGCCATTGCCTGCCGAGGGACGACCGCTGTTAAGAAAAAACCTTTTTCTATATTTTCTGTGATGTGTCTCTGACCAGGGCTTGAACCCAGGTGCTGATGAGTGAAAGCGCGCACTGCTTACCACCACACCACAGCGGCCGACAATAGTTCCCAAAATATGCCTATGGCTTTTTTGCCAAGTGAAAAGTTCCGCTTCGGCTTTTTTAATGCGCTACATTTGCCTTCTTTTTGAGAAATATAGTCAGGTACCATCTATTTAGATTTCGGGTGCTCGTGAAGTGGCACTTTGTTCCGGTTATTTAAGAAAACTTTTTACTTTTTTTGTGTTTATTGATTCTTCCGACAAAAATGGAATAACCCCGAAAACATTACTAAATTTAATTATAGATGTCAAAAATTCATACTAAAATACATCAACATACATTAAAATCCTTGCTTGCATAATATAAACACCCTATATAAATATGTATGTTTATTAGGGCGGGTCAATTTTTGTTTTTTACAATGCGCGCATAGCATAGGAGTATTCTACGTTTAATTCTAAGCAAATTTTCCGAAGAAACCATGGGTCTAAACTCGATTTGGAGTTTGCCAAATTGCGAAAATAGGTTTCGAAGGAAAGGTGAAAAATTTTACTCCGGCGCCCTCTGGAGGAAGCTTTAAGAATAAGATAAGTGCAGAAATGGATACCCCATACCAAAAAACCCATCATGGCATATTTTATATAAATTTAAAGCACTTCTTTAAGACACTACAGCAAAATGCTTCGAAGCCTATTTTCGCAATTTGACAAACTCCAAATTGTTTCACGACCTATGGTTTCTTTGACAAATTTGTTTAGAATTACACGTAGAAGCCTTCGGTGCTCTTAGTCGAAAAAATCTAGCACAAAAATTGAACCGCCCTAATATAAAAGTATATTTTTCACAGAGCGCATATTAGCAATCTTAATGTAGATATTCTTTGTCTTTATTGCTTCGCAAATAAAAAGGTATTGCATAATTAATTTAACTTTCATTTTTTTTCATTACGATGCACAAAATTAGAAGCATGGCACTCGTCTATCGATTTTAAAGAGTTATGCAATTTTAGAGATTATCAATAGGTGAATACATATAAATTATATAGATTATGATGACTTTTAATAGAACTTTGAAAATGAACTGGTTAATTAAAATAGCTAAATATCACAGTTAAGCAGATCACTAAAAACTAGTTGATTGCTTATTTAATTTTTTTTTATATTTATTAACACTCTTGGCAGCTTCCTGCTTATTAGGTAGATGATAATAAGCAAAAACTTTAAATGTGATCCATTGGAGGTCACCTAATGGATATCAATTATTCCGGTTCTTCGTCTTTAGATGATTTTGATTTTTTAGTATTCTAAATATATACAAATGTTTAATGGAGACATAAATAGTATAATATGCATTGGATAGTTGCCCAATACGGAAACAAGTGTTAGGATGATGCATATATACACACGTACATACATACTTATGTAGGTGATATCACAAACAATTCTGGCTATACATATTTATGTATATAACTGGAGATCTCAGCCATTTTAAACCAGCCCATGAACATTTTGTCGCACAAAATTTATCATTGATTGAATAGATAGGATAGATAGGAACATAACTATATTGGCTAAGTCTTCCATACAAAATAAGCTAATAGCTTTATTTTTCTCGTCAAATAAAACACGCCTAATGTAAATAATCGCAAAGCTATTTTAAAGCATTTTTTACTATGGGAATTTCAATAAAAATGTATTCATACCACCTGGTACCACCTATTTTGTATGTAAATGCATATGTATGAATATTGTAATCCATATGTCAAACGTTTGTTATGTGAAAAATCTAGAGAATATGTAAATATGTAGTACTAATAGTTTGCATAAAATTAAGGTCCAAAGTACTTTCGCCAACTAATGAATAAGAAATATTGTATTGAGTATATTTTCTTGTTTGTACTCGTCGTTGAACTTTGAACTGTTGTAAGTCACACTGCATGTAAATATAGTAATATAGACAAAATCAATTTTCTGAAAATCGAAGGAACAGTGAAATATTACAGTGTCAAATAAAACTAATGCTCGCATCTTATAGAGCAATCACTTACGAGTATGTAGTTCAATTAAAGTTGAAAATATGTACATATGTATGTATGTAGTAGTTTTTTGTTACAGAACGGGTAGGTTTAAATATAAATTCGAATTTATTCACAAACTATTGCTGGTAAGAAAACCATCGGTTGTAAAAAGTGTATATATATATGATATTTATTTCGAATATACATACTTAAATAAACACATAAATTGCCGCCAACGGGTAATTTTTTTACTTTTCAACAAATTTTTGTTTTAAATAAATAATATCAAATAATTTTAACAATTTTTAATTGATTTTTTTCCAGTACAGTTTCGTACTGAAGCGATACTTGATCATACATACGAGTACATATCGATAGCCATCTGCAGTAACGACACAATTCAAAATTAAAAAAAAATAAAAATTTATTAAAGTAAATAGTAAGGATGACTACAGTGCGACATGAGCCACTTAACCATTCGTTCGATCTACCAAAATGAGGTGTCAAATTAAAAGCCTTGGACTGTAGATGTGCAATAAGGTTTTACAACTTGGAAAAGAATTACCACCTTTTAAAAAACTATATTCAAATTATTTAAAAAAATATATATACATATATACTATATATATGAATTATTACAAAATGTGTATCAATCGAAATGTTTTTGTAAAGCTTTGTGCCTTAGCTGAACTATAGGAGGGTTGCCACCTGTTTAAAAA